ATGTTTTCTGAAGATATTGACTCTGTGGTTCTGTTCTTTAACGTCATTACTATAGAACCAATAGTTCTTTCGTTTCGTGTTACCTGTGATAATGATTGGAATAGCTTTGTTCGCAGCAGCTGCAACGGCTTCCTGCAGATTGGTCTCGTGAATGTTCAAATCCTCAGGTGGCGTGTACGTTGCATACCATTTTTCAAGTTCTTCTTGGTATACATTCCAATTGGCCTTTCCTAAATTCCACCGAGGCTGCGCAGGTGGTGTAGGAGGTCGTGCCAGGTTTAGTGTCGTGACAGTAGCATAGTGGTCACTGGTGATCACCGGGTCTACTTCCCACTTCGCTTGTTGCTGGAGTGCTGTTGAGATGAATGTAAGATCAAGGGAACCTCCTAGAATGTGAGTGGGTTCCCCAGTGTTGAGAAGTGTAATTTCAGGTACTTCTCGCAGAGCTGCAGCTAAATGGCGCCCATCTGCATTGGCTGGCCCAGTTGCACCTAACTCAGGATGATGAGCATTAAAATCTCCAGCAATAATTAAATTTTCATGCGTGGCCAAGGCAAGCACTGCCTCTGCTTCTAGTTTACGTCTAGGGGGCTTGTAAACGTTGTATATGAGGAGCTCAAAATTAGCCATATTCACTGTAACTGCTAATATCTCTACTCCATCCCCACATGAATCTGAGTCTATTTTCTTGCTGGGTATGGTGTTTCTGACTAGGGTCATTAATCCTCTTAGTCTCCCCTGCTCATACGGGAGAACATAGTGCTGATATCCCGCTAATCTGAAGGATTTCGTGGCCGGGAAAAGAGTTTCTTCCAAAACGATTATATCTGCTTTCGTGCTGATTGCAGCCTCCTGAAGTGTGTGTTTTTTATTTCCAAGACCTTGTATGTTCCACTGCAGAATTCGTAATGGCCAGACGACGGGTTCGGTTGGTGTTGCTTGTTCTACTAGAACTCCTCCTCGGAATCGACCTCTATATTCTCCGCCTCGCAAGTCGTGTCGCTGCAAATCGGACTGCATTGACAGTTCGTGGTCATCCCCGACGTTGTTGGAATCTGTGCATAACTGTGGTCCATCGCTATGTTGTTGGAAGTGCAGCAGGTCGGACTGCATTGATTGTCCGTGGTCAACCCCGGCATTGTCGGAATCTGTGCAGAACTGTGGTCCATCACTTTGTTGTTGGTATTGCTGCAAGTCGGACTGCATTGATTGCTCGCGGCCGTTTCTTGTGTTGGCGGAACCTGCGCATCCCTGCTGTTCAATTCGTCTTTGTTGGCGTTGCTGCAGATCAGACTGCATTGGCTGTTGTTGTCTGTCTCCTGTGTTGGAAGATTCTGTTGATCGTGGGTGGTCACTGCGTCTTGCAGTTGCGTTTGTGAATGTCGATGTTCCGGTGTCTTGACTAGCCGACTGTTGTTGGTAGTCAGTATGTCCAAGTTGCGTTGTTTGTCCTCTTGTGCTCCATCCTGTCGGAGACTGTCTATGTCTCGTGTAACTGTGGTCTGCTGCACGATCTTGTCCATTATCACACAAGTGATGTCTTGAGTCTGTTGTTGTGAGGCGTTCTGCGTCATCTGTAGGCAATTGATAATGGTCTCTGCCATGATCTTCACGATGGTTTTCAGCTGGACCTCGGTAAAACTGTATAGCTGGTGAGTAGATTCCAAAAGTAAGTGTTTTCTGCTCTTTTGCATTTGCTGGACTTCTGCAACACTTTCGTGTAATGTCTGATTCGGAATTGACAGATTCGGGAAATTTTGCTCCGTGAGAGCGGGTGGCTGTTGTGGCTGTGCACGAGTGTTCCAGACGTTGGTGTTGGAGGATGTATTGCTGGGCAGTGTGTTGATCCTGGCCTGAGCTGTCTGCACTTTTTGTTTCCGTGCACAGCAGGTTGTGCTCCAGGCATGATGTTTGCCTCCACAATTTGGACATTTGGCTGTAGTGGTCTGGTTTGCCTTGTGCTTGGCAATACAGTCTTTGGTGGGATGTCTCAGGCTGCACACTCCGCACCTCTCCTGTCCTGTGCAGCGTGACTGATGGTGGCCGTATTTCTGACACCTGAAGCAGCGTAGGGGTTCCGGGACGTATGGCCTCTGTCGGTATGTCCCCCAATTTCCAAGACCGAAAGATTCTGGCACACGTCCCATGACGGTCACCAGAACCTGACGCGTCGCTGCCTTGTCTACTTTTGTGCAACACACGTTGTAATCTCCGTAAGTTCTTCACCGATTGCTTTGAAATTTTGACACAACGTTCCATTCGAATACGTGCGTGCTTTTAAATACCTACCATATAGATGCCATACCTACGACAGGTAAAAAAATGCATTTTTAGAAAAACAGCGTGATCTTTGCACGTAAGGGCAACACGCGCTATACTAAATATATAACGCTTCCATTTCAATGTTTCCGATTGCACTGATAAATTGAATTGTCATACATTTGGATGTATTTTCATTTTCATTTAATTATTTTGTGTGGCATTGTGTTAGACTGGAGCTGTGTTATTTATAATCATTCATTTCGTGAGTATTGTTTATTTTTTTATTTTTTTCATTTCGTTTTTTAACTGTTCTTATTTTTCAGTGATCGGAACATCAGATCATTTGATGTTCCCAATTTTCTGATGGGAACATCAGATCGTTTTGGGAATGAATTGGACGAGAGAGAGTGGTGGGAATGGTGAGGAGGATGATGGGGCGGGAGCGGGGGTTGGTGGGGAGGACGAGGGGACAGGGGAGGGGGTAAACGTGGGGAAGCCGAGCAGACGGGGGAGTTGGGGATGATTGAGACGATGGGACGGGGGAATGGAGAATAGTGGGGAGGACAAGGAGACGTGGGAGTGGGAAATGGTGGAGAGGAAGAGGGGAAAATAGTAGGCAGGACGAGGGGATGGCAGGTGGGGAATGGTGGGGAGGACGAGGGGATGGTAGGTGGGGAATGGTGGGGAGGACGCGGGGTTGGGGGGAAGTGGGGAATGGTTGGGAGGACGAGGGGATGGAGGAATGCGGTGAGGACTGAGGGACAGGGAAAGGACGCTGTGGCTCAACAATGCGCATGCATTGCTGAACCACAGCAATGCATGGCCGGTTACAGCTAGCACCTAATAATTACACTAGTTCAATTCTGGACTGGATTTTCACTCATCAGTAATTGGTGATAACTTGGCTACTCTGAACTGAGATCACAGTTGTCAGTATGTGTACCTAACTACTTTGTACCACGTTCTAAGCCCAGTAGTCTTCATTAAGTGGGGATCACTTAGCTACTGTGCGCCGTGTTCTGAGGCCAGTGGTCGTCACACAGTCATCAGAAGGTAGGGATTAATTAGCTATTGTCCACCGTGTTCTGAGGCATCTGGTCTTCACGAGGTCATCAGTAAGTGGAGATCACTTAGCTACTGTGCACCGTGATCTGAGGCCAGTCACTGTTGTCAGTAAGTAAGGATCACCACGATAGTGTGAACCATGTTCTGAGGCCACTTGTCGTCACACAGTCATCAGTAGAAACGGACACGGAGCTAATATGCACCTATTTCTGAGGCGATTGGTCGTCACAGTCGTCAGAAAGTGGGGATCACTTAGCTACTGTGTACGATGTTCTGAGGCTTCTGGTCGTCACAGTCGTAACTAAGAAGGGATCACTTAACTACTGTATACCGCGTACTGAGACCAGTATGGTTGCAACCCACAAGAGTTTGGTGACTCGCACCATCACGAGGCTTCCTAGTGGTCGTCGTGTATAAAGAGAAAGAAGGTTTAGAAGAGGAGAGAAAGGGTGCGCCTATAGTCATGACCCATCAACAAATGGTCATCTTCCAGCATCGCACTTCTCTCCAAACAATGACTGAACACAATATATTATGAATGTTTTAGTGTCCCTTTAAAGATAGGAGATACACAGTATTGTTTTCTTATGAGTGAGGGAGGGCAATCAAATAAAGAGCATATATATCATCTTAATTACAATTAATTTTTAGCCAATATATTAGGTCATATAAAAATTAAAAGTCATATATAAACTTGTATTAAGTTCTAAAAAACTTTATAGTCACTTCAATTCCTAAGTTAGTTTTGTATAAAAATTAAAGAAAAAAAATTAAAAGAAAATATTTAAATATAAATTTTTATATCTAATTTTATAAGAATTATATCACTGAAAACTTTGTTTTATTGCTGATAATTTTAATAGGTAAATAGTAAATTCATTCTCACTCTTAAGTAATTGGTGATAGATTGACTACTCTGAACTGAGATCACAGTAGTCGGTATGTGTAATTAGCTACTGTGGACCACGTTCTGAGCCCAGTAGTCGTCATTAAGTAGGGATCACGTAGCTACTGTGCACTGTGTTGTGAGGTCCCTGGTCGTCACACAGTCATCAGTAAGTACGGGTTACCTAGCTACTGTGCACCGTGTTCCGAAGCCAATGGTCTTCACACAGTCATCAGTAAGTTGAGATTTTTTAGCTACTGTGCACCGTGTTCTCAGGCCAGTGGTCGTCACAGTTGTCAGTAAGTTGGGAGTAAAAAAGTAAGAGTGTGTCAGTAAGAGTGCCTCACTACACCAGAGTGTCTCTCTACACCAGAGTGTCTCTCTACACCAAAGTGTCTCTCTACACCAGAGTGTCTCACTACACCAGAGTGTCTCACTACACCAGAGTGCCTCACTACACCAGAGTGTCTCTCTACACCAGAGTGTCTCTCTACACCAGAGTGTCTCTCTACACCAGAGTGTCTCACTACACCAGAGTGTCTCACTACACCAGAGTGCCTCACTACACCAGAGAGTCTCACTACACCAGAGTGTCTCACTACACCAGAGTGCCTCACTACACCAGAGTGCCTCACTACACCAGAGTGTCTCACTACACCAGAGTGTCTCACTACACCAGAGTGCCTCACTACACCAGAGTGTCTCACTACACCAGAGTGTCTCACTACACCAGAGTGTCTCACTACACCAGAGTGCCTCACTACACCAGAGTGCCTTTCTACCCCAGAGCGCCTCTCTACCCCAGAGTGCTTCTCTACCCCAGAGCGACTCTCTACGCCAGAGCGCCTCTCTACCCCAGAGCGACTCTCTACGCCAGAGCGACTCTCTACCCCAGAGCGACTCTCTACGCCAGAGCGACTCTCTACCCCAGAGCGACTCTCTACGCCAGAGCGCCTCTCTACCCCAGAGCGACTCTCTACCCCAGAGCGACTCTCTATGCCAGAGCGACTCTCTACGCCAGAGCGCCTCTCTACCCCAGAGCGACTCTCTACGCCAGAGCGACTCTCTACGCCAGAGCGACTCTCTACCCCAGAGCGCCTTTCTATGCCAGAGCGACTCTCTACGCCAGAGCGACTCTCTACGCCAGAGCGACTCTCTACGCCAGAGCGACTCTCTACGCCAGAGCGACTCTCTACCCCAGAGCGCCTTTCTACGCCAGAGCGACTCTCTACGCCAGAGCGCCTCTCTACCCCAGAGCGCCTCTCTACCCCAGAGCGCCTCTCTACCCCAGAGCGCCTCTCTACACCAGAGAGCCTCTCTACCCCAGAGCGCCTCTCTACCCCAGAGCGCCTCTCTACCCCAGAGCGCCTCTCTACCCCAGAGCGCCTCTCTACCCCAGAGCGCCTCTCTACCCCAGAGCGCTTCTCTACCCCAGAGTGTCTCACCACACCAGAGTGCCTCACTACACCAGAGTGTCTCACTACACCAGAGTGTCTCACTACACCAGAGTGTCTCACTACACCAGAGTGCCTCACTACACTAGAGTGCCTCACTACACTAGAGTGCCTCACTACACCAGAGTGCCTCACTACACCAGAGTGCCTCACTACACCAGAGTGCCTCACTACACCAGAGTGCCTCACTACACCAGAGTGCCTCACTACACCAGAGTGCCTCACTACACCAGAGTGCCTCACTACACCAGAGTGCCTCACTACACCAGAGTGCCTCACTACACCAGAGTGCCTCACTACACCAGAGTGCCTCACTACACCAGAGTGCCTCACTACACCAGAGTGCCTCACTACACCAGAGTGCCTCACTACACCAGAGTGCCTCTCTACCCCAGAGCGCCTCTCTACCCCAGAGCGCCTCTCTACCCCAGAGCGACTCTCTACCCCAGAGCGACTCTCTACGCCAGAGCGACTCTCTACGCCAGAGCGCCTCTCTACCCCAGAGCGACTCTCTACGCCAGAGCGACTCTCTACGCCAGAGCGACTCTCTACCCCAGAGCGCCTTTCTATGCCAGAGCGACTCTCTACGCCAGAGCGACTCTCTACGCCAGAGCGACTCTCTACGCCAGAGCGACTCTCTACGCCAGAGCGACTCTCTACCCCAGAGCGCCTTTCTACGCCAGAGCGACTCTCTACGCCAGAGCGCCTCTCTACCCCAGAGCGCCTCTCTACCCCAGAGCGCCTCTCTACCCCAGAGCGCCTCTCTACCCCAGAGCGCCTCTCTACCCCAGAGCGCCTCTCTACCCCAGAGCGCCTCTCTACCCCAGAGCGCCTCTCTACCCCAGAGCGCCTCTCTACCCCAGAGCGCCTCTCTACCCCAGAGCGCTTCTCTACCCCAGAGTGTCTCACCACACCAGAGTGCCTCACTACACCAGAGTGTCTCACTACACCAGAGTGTCTCACTACACCAGAGTGCCTCACTACACCAGAGTGCCTCACTACACTAGAGTGCCTCACTACACTAGAGTGCCTCACTACACCCGAGTGCCTCACTACACCAGAGTGCCTCACTACACCAGAGTGCCTCACTACACCAGAGTGCCTCACTACACCAGAGTGCCTCACTACACCAGAGTGCCTCACTACACCAGAGTGTCTCACTACACCAGAGTGCCTCACTACACCAGAGTGCCTCACTACACCAGAGTGCCTCACTACACCAGAGTGCCTCACTACACCAGAGTGCCTCACTACACCAGAGTGCCTCACTACACCAGAGTGTCTCACTTCACAAGAGTGTCTCACTACACCAGAGTGTCTCACTACACCAGAGTGTCTCACTACACCAGAGTGTCTCACTACACTAGAGTGTCTCACTACACCAGAGTGCCTCACTACACCAGAGTGTCTCACTACACCAGAGTGTCTCACTACACCAGAGTGTCTCACTACACTAGAGTGTCTCACTACACCAGAGTGTCTCTCTACACTCTATAGGTGCCATAGGCACAATCAGAGAACACTGTATAAACATCAGAGGTCCCCGGTTCTTCAACACTCTCCCAGCAAGCATAAGAAATATTGCCGGAACAACCGTGGACATCTTCAAGAGGAAACTAGATTTATTCCTCCAAGGAGTGCCGGACCAACCGGGCTGTGGTGGGTATGTGGGCCTGCGGGCCGCTCCAAGCAACAGCCTGGTGGACCAAACTCTCACAAGTCAAGCCTGGCCTCGGGCCGGGCTTGGAGAGTAGAAGAACTCCCAGAACCCCATCAACCAGGTATATGTGGGCCTGCGGGCCGCTCCAAGCAACAGCCTGGTGGACCAAACTCTCACAAGTCAAGCCTGGCCTCGGGCCGGGCTTGGAGAGTAGAAGAACTCCCAGAACCCCATCAACCAGGTATATGTGGGCCTGCGGGCCGCTCCAAGCAACAGCCTGGTGGACCAAACTCTCACAAGTCAAGCCTGGCCTCGGGCCGGGCTTGGAGAGTAGAAGAACTCCCAGAACCCCATCAACCAGGTATATGTGGGCCTGCGGGCCGCTCCAAGCAACAGCCTGGTGGACCAAACTCTCACAAGTCAAGCCTGGCCTCGGGCTGGGCTTGGGGAGTAGAACAACTCCCAGAACCCCATCAACCAGGTAACCAGGTACACCAGAGTGTCTCACTACCCCAGAGTCCCTCTCTACGCCAGAGCGCCTCTCTACGCCAGAGCGCCTCACTACGCCAGAGCGCCTTACTACGCCACTTTTCGTCACGCAGTCTTAAGTATGGCTCACTTAGCAACTGTATACCGTGTTCTGAGGACAGTGTAGTTACAACCCACAGGAGTTTGGTGACTCGCACCATCACGAGGCTTCCTAGTGGTCGTCGGGTGTAAAGAGAAAGAAGGTTTAGAAGAGGAGAGA